AAGAATAAATAAATAAAAAGAGAGTCTGTAAAATAATAGAATAATTCAACTATATTACAAAAAGAGTACTTGTCATTATGAGATCAGAAATACAAAAGATATCAGCAAATGAAGAAAAAACAAAATACAGAAATACATAGAAATAGCCATATACAGGAAAAATAAAATAAAATATATATACAAACAAGAGGAAAGGAAAATAAACTCCTGAGGAAAAAATGCATATAAAATCCTCAATACAGATAGTACTAAAGAAAAAAAAAAAGCAAACGAAAACAAAAAAAAAAAAAAAAAAAAAACAGAAAATAGAAACATACTCAAAAATACTACTGAAACCATATGAAACCAAAAAAAAAAATATCCTCGCGGAATAAAAATAAAAATAAATAAATGTTTTTTTTTTTTCTGTTTTTCCCCCCACTTTCTATCAGAACTCTCTATGGCAAACAATAATCAAATTTCTTTTTTTTTTTTCACACATATATGAAGAACTCCAAGAGAAGATCATCATCATCATCATCTTCTTCTTCTTTTCTTTTTCTCTCTCTCATTTTTATATCTCAAAAGGAGAGCATTCGGCAAACACCTGAAGCCTTATGATCCATCGTAATCATATTCACATCATTACTGTTATTATTATTATTTCCATCCAATACATCATTAGATACCACTTCTGTAGAATATTGGACGTTCAAGTCATTATTTATCATCCCACCATCATCATCATTATCATTATAATGATTATTATTATTATCATTATCATGATTATCATCTCTTCCCTCCAATTCCATTATATTTCCTTCTCTTTCTATTTCTTCTTCTTTTTCATTTTCTTCTTGTTGTTGTGATGGTCGTGGTAGTAGTGGTGGTGGTGGGGAATCGGATGAAGTTTTCACATCTCCAAACCGCTGCAGCAATACACGTTTCCAATCACGTAAAGATTGATTCCATTGTCCCTGGGCCACATCCCGTTCATACATTGTATAATGTAATTCCAATAAACTTTGTGGATCATATCTTGCCATGATCTCACGAATATAGTTTTCATAATAACGAATAAAGAGACGATCTACTACAGCATATTTTTCTACCTTGTTAGGATTAAACTGCAACCATGATGGAATCTTTTCAAGAGAAGATGAAGAAACACTAAATGTAATAGAACCGACAACATCCGTTATAAAAGGAACCGTTACACCAGACATTTGTTGTTGTTGTTGTTGTTGTTGAAGTATCCATTGTTGTTGTAATGTCATTCGTGAAGATGGACTTCGCATAAAAGATATTAACGGCATAGTAACGCGTTCATCTTTATCATATAAAAGAGAAGTCAGTAAAGCTCTAATAGAAACTACTACTCGACCAATTTCCATTGGTGGTAGTGTTTTAGGTGTACGGCGTGGAGAATTCGAATGATGACTTTGTAGAGATGCGGGAGAAGATCGTTTTTTCCCTGATCGTGATAAGGAACGTGTATTGCGAACTTGTCGAACTGTAAGAATTAATTGTTGATGTTCATGAGAATGATGAGGATATTTTTCTGTTTTTTCTTCTATATCGGAAATATCTAAACGAATAATACCTCCATTAGTTCCTTCTATAATAGAAGAACCCATACAGGTTACACTTCCTTCATCATGTCCACAAGAAGCTGTTATTATATATTCATCTCTTTCCCATTCTCTTTCTTGTTGTTGTTGCGATTGAGATTGAGATTGTGATTGAGATTGTGATTGTTGTGATTGTTCACTATGATCAGTGAGTGTTAACTGATCAATGGTAATATATATAGTAGCTGCAATAGGTCTTGCGAGGATACGACTTCGTAGTTCTGTATGTGCAGAAGCCACATGATTCATTTCTGTTATTAATGGTTGAATAAAGGGTAAGGCATGTGGTCTATATCGACGTAAAAGTGAAATCACATCCTTCTCCACATCTTCCCATGGTTCCTCTTCGAATTCACGGCGAATAAATCCATCTGAAGTTAAAGAAACACCAAGATATCCAATAAACATACCATTACAAGTAATATTATTACCATTACTATGTGTATTGGTATTACTTTCAAAGAGTGGAATCCAACATATATTCTCTTTTCCTGCTATCATATTTCGTAAAGATATTTCAGCAAAGGCGAGTATAATAGATTGTAAATAACGATGTTGGGCAATTTTAAATCGTATTCGTACATGTTGAGGATCATTTAATACAACGGTAGTACTATTCTTTACATCCTCTAATGTAAATATAATATTAGAAGAAGCTGCTTGTGTAGATGTGCGTAATATTGCCTCTCCATTCATATATACCTTTACATAACAAGAACATCCTGGCTTAAAATCACGAATACCAATAAGACGTAATTGCATAGGAGATGAAAGTATATCTGGTCCATATTGTTGTTGTAATTGATGAACAAGTTCCTCAGAATGATTAGCGTTTTCAGCAAGAAGACACTCCACACGGTGTAGTTGTTGAGGTGCATAGCGATAAAGCATTCGCTGCACACAGGCACGACAGGAAGTGTTTACAACTGTGTAATCACCAATATTATTATTATTATTATTATTATTATTATTATTATTATTATTATTATTATTATTTTGAGCGATATTCATAGTATTGATCATATTAGGCGAAGGGCTAATCCCACGTACAATACCATCTGTACCGTTAAAATTTAATGCCAATAATTCTACTTGTATAGATCCTTTAAAATAGGCATTCTTACTACCCGCACATCTTACCAGTGGAACTGTGAGAAGTAAAGGTTGTTTTTCTCGTAATGGACGAAGTGAGAGAGAAATAATTCCTAAATCCGTCTCATCTAATCCAGCAATTCCTTTACTTATTAAGGCTAAAAGGATTTCATCTCTTTCTGGAAGTACACCACGAAAAATAACAGGATCATCAAATTGGGCGATACCACTATCACTCATACTAACAACATTAGTTGAACAATGATGTAAACCAACATGTATAAAGGCATAAACACCACCACGTTTAATAGAAACTCGACGAAATGGAAGAATATTATTATGTTCCATAATAACATCTGCAGAAGTCGAAATAGAAGAAGTAGAAAATAATGAAGAAGAAATAGAATTAGAAATAGCAGCAGAAGTAGCCGCCACCGAAGGACTATCCCATGTACTATCATAAGCATTCCATCGTTTAATCGATACTCGTAAATCACATCTTCCCATTTCTGCCTTAAACTTATTGGAATAATGATGTATACTATGAGATGAACTTACAATCACATCTAAATTATGTAAATCCTCACGAGCGTATTTCCATAAAAGTAAACGTAATTGCGTTCTACGGTTTTCTTCCACTGTACGATTATACTGTACAGGTCGACGTATTCTACCACTACTATTCCCACGACTACTACTATTACCATTAATATGAAGATTATTATTATTATTATCATTATTTAATGTTCGAATGGAAACAGTAATACTTCCACACGGTGATGCCTCCTTTGTACCTGCAGCTCCAACAATAGTATGTGAACGAATCCCATCTTGTAAAGTAGAGGCCATACATAATTCCCCTACTTTTATAGAAGATGCAAATACAGTAATATAAATAATTGTTTCTGGAGTAACATGAAGTGTAAAGGATTCATTAAAAACGGCAACTTCTTGTAATGGAACTATACGTGTACGGTGAAGACTTTCTTTAGTTTCTATCATCACTCGACATGCGGGGGAACTTCTTAATGGGAGTCCTGTACTTATTAACATTAAAGCACGTACATCCACTATGGTAAGAGAAATATGACTACTCCATTTATGTTTACTATTACTTCTATTCTTACTCTTACTTTTACTTTTTTCTTCATCACGTCCTTTATAACGTGCCAAGATTGTATCTACTTCTCGTGGAGTTGAACAGGAACAACAACAACATCCAACAATCCATTCAAGTCGATGTAAATGACGTCCACCAGATGATAATAACACTTCTAATACCCGTTTTCGCACTAACACTTCTTTTCTTTCATCTACTCGATAGGCATCACGCCAGACATTACATCCACTCGCGCGTAGAGTCATAAACACTTCACCGCGTAGTCGAGCTTGATGACTACCGGCACGTCGTACAAGTGAAATCCATCGTGTGCGTGGCTCTGTGGATTGTAAGAGTTGCAGTGAAATAATAGCGGTGCCAAGTCTTTTCAAATGCCCTGTTTGGGTTCGCAGAACTGCAGTGATAATCATTGTTCGTCCTTGCGCTCCATTAAGAAGCAATCGGGCATTATGGAAAACGGGATTATCTGTGAAGGGCACAAACGCCGTTCGTACACTCGTCGCTGATGTACGAATGAAAATACATATTTGCCGTTGTTTTTCTTCCTGTTGTTGCGGAGTATTATTATTATTATTATTATTATTATTATTATTATTATGATAGTGTCGTCCTGGTGTACGTTGGGATAACATATCCCGGCATGCCCATACATCTACATATACAAAATCATTTTCATAAGAAGAAAGTGCTGCTGGTGGTGTTGTCGTAGTAGTAGTAGTAGTAGTAGTAGTAGTTATTGTTGGTGTATTAATCTCTACAGGGCGTAGCTGCACAGTCCCCTCTTCATTCTCTTCACAGACATTTCCCTCTTCAGCCATTCTTCTTCTTCTCACTGGAGGATGTGATTCACTTCTATTCACAACCATTCCAATAGAAGAAGAAACTTGTAATGGTATAGGGACTGGTGCTGTTCCTGCTGGTACTGGTGATCTTGATTGGGATGGGGATGGGATCGTCACTGGTGAAGCCACAAGAAGTGAAGCCGCAGAAGAAGAAGAAGGAACAGCAGCAGCAACAGCAGCAGGTATAGAAATAAGAGCCGGCACTAAAGGCTCAACCCCAATAGGAACAGAAGAAGAAAAAGCTCTTCTTGCTATTACTGATTCTGATTCTGATGCTGGTGTTGCTGCTGGTACTGGTACTGCGGCTATTGTTGAAGAGAGAACAACAATGGGAGTAGTCGCAGTGGATGGAATGACTGTTGTGGGTGTATGCATAGAAGTCTGCACATGATTAGATTCAACCACTGTAGAAGGTGTATATCTCTTTTGTAATGGCAATGGAGAAGCACGTCGAAATGGGGCTGGAGGAGCAATAGGCTCAATCACTACAACATCATCATCGTTATTATTATTATTATTATTATTATCATCCTCACTGTAAGGGGTATCAGGATGAGGAAGATTGAAGATTCCTTCTAATTCCTCAAAAGAGACATCATATCCACCAGTCTTGTCATTATTATAATGTTTTTCCATATCTTGAATATTTATAAATGAAATGGAATCTTCCACCGTTGGAATTTCAGTAAATTCATGAGCTGTATCTTCATCCTTATTTTCAAAGTAAGAACTCGATTGTACTTCTGGTTCTGGTTCTGGTTCTGTAAACATAGATGATTGAAGTTTTATAATATTCATATTCGTATTCGTAGTAATAGTAGTAGCATTCGTATTAGTAGTATTTGTTCGTGTAGCTGCAGGATTTGTTGTTGTTGTTGTTGTTGTTATCGTACTCGCAAGTGGTGTAAATTTAGTAGCAGTACTACTTTGCAAATCTTCACATATTTGACGAACCCACGCCATTCGTGTACAGTGTTCCTGCATCATCGCTACTTCTAATCGGTGATCTGAAATATCATGTGAATCTACACAAGCAATATGATAAACATCTAAATGGGTATCATTACTATTGGCAATCGCAATATACCCAAAGGCATATATATATTGACGTTCATAGCCTTCACATGGAGGACGAAAACTACTTTGTATAGAGTTTTGAAGATATACAGCAGCTACATTATTAGTATTATTATTATTATTATGATCTTCCTTTTCTTCTTCTTTTCCTGTTTTTGTTTTTCTTTTTATTCCTGTTGTTGTTGTTGTTGTTAAGGGAGATAATAATCCTTCTTTCTCTGCTTCCATCGGCTGTAAAAGTACACGGGCCATACGAACACAATAATCTCGTTTCGCTGCATACGCCGCTAGTCGTCGAGAACGTCCATACACAACTGGAATATCTAAAGATTCCATTTCAACAGTTCCTCCTTCTCCTTTTCCTTCTTTTCCTTCTTCTTTTCTCATTGCTGTAGTATTTGTTGTTGTTGTTGTTGTTGTTGTTGTTGGTATAATTTCTTTTCTTCTTGTGTGGATGGTCTCCATTACGGTTACGGTATCTGTGAGGGCATCATACCGGTGGGTCTGTGCGGGATCTCCCACCAGTGAAAGAAATGTTCGCAGTCCACACCGTATCCTTATATACATACGATACGCTTTTAGAAAAGGTGGGGCTTGTATATATTTACTCGCCTCACAGACTTCTACTCTACAACCATCTTGTTGTTGTTGTTGTTGACGATGATGATGTTGATGCTGATGAGATTGTAATAATCGCCAGACTGCAGTGGTGTGAAGTGTGAGAAGTGGTTGAAAAACATAACGTTGGGCACGGGAAATATGATTGGGTACATACATGTTGAATTGAAATTGAAAAGAAGGCTCTCGTGGTTCGGGAGAACTACAATTAATATGATGTAATGTATACGCTTCTTCTCCTTTTTCTCCTTTTTCTTTTTCTTCTTCTTTCGTTTCTTTTTCTTTCACCACCCGCATTCTTCTTGAGATCATCTTTTGCATCAATTCACATAAATTCCGTATACGTGTTATTTTCTCTTCCACACGTGCAGTCATGTTGATGAGATGTTTATCTGCAGCTTTGAGATAAATTAACTCTACACATGGGCCTGGTCTTTCATAGGCAATAAAGGCCGAAAGATGCATCCATCCCCGCACGTAGTCAGGTGATGTTGATCTTGATATAGAGATTTTATCATTATCCTTATCCTTATTATTATTATTATTATTATTATTATTATTATTATTATTATAAGGCTCTTTAATACTATGAATGGTATAGACAAATACTTCTGATGGAATTTGGTGGAGATCCGTGTTATTGGTATTCTTTCTATTTATAGGCCTGTTGCTATCTGTATGGATATTATTATTATTATCATTATTATCATAATAATAATAATAATAATAATAATAATGATAATAATAACTATTTGCTGATTGAAAAGGTTTATGGACAATTTGAGTTAAAAAGGTTTCCAATGCTTTATTTGAATGGATCGCCTCTGGGAGATGAAAGGAGGTGTATTGCTGTTGTGTAATCACATCTACGGGTGGGGTTCCACGGTAGGCCGTATATGTACACAAGACTCTATTCTTCTTTTTATTCTTATTATTATTCCGTTCCTCCAGTGTTTGATTGAAAATAACACCATCTTCATAATACTCCAAATTCTGTGGAATTGTAATAAATGTTGTAAAGACCTCAAGACTACATTGAAGTGTTGCATGTACTTTTATAAGACTGTGAAGATTGTATTGATGTAAATTATAATCTTCTCTGTTAAAAATATTCATAGTATTGGTAGTATTGACAGCGGTGTATACTTGACAAGATGGAGGAGTACTTGTAATCCCATTATTATTATTATTATTATTATTATTATTATTATTATTATTATTATTATTCTTATTCATATTCATATTGGTATTGGTATTGATATTTATAATAGGAATCCATTGTTCTTTATCGGCACACAACAGAAGTGCATCATTAAATACCCAGCTGTTGTTTCGATCACACATTCCATCTATTAAGATTCATAATCATTTATTTATTTGATAGTAATCATAATAAGTATATATATATATATATATATATATAT